CTAAAAAATGAGACCACTTTGGTTCAAATCGGAGCTTGATGGGGGGATGGTGACGTCATCAGCCAAAAAATTTAAACGATTATATCTTAAAAAGTAAAGCAGCACAAATGTTTGTTTTAACTGCACAAATCAGCACAAACGAAGCACTAAAAAATGAGACCACTTTGGATCAAATCGGAGCTTGATGGGGGGATGGTGATGTCATCAGCCAAAAAATTTAAACGATTATACCTTAAAAAGTAAAGCAGCACAAATGTTTGTTTTAACTGCACAAATCAGCACAAACGAAGCACTAAAAAATGAGACCACTTTGGATCAAATCGGAGCTTGATGGGGGGATGGTGACGTCATCAGCCAAAAAATTAAAATGATTATATCTTAAAAAGTAAAGCAGCACAAATGTTTGTTTTAACTGCACAAATCAGCACAAACGAAGCACTAAAAAATGAGACCACTTTGGATCAAATCGGAGCTTGATTGGCGGTCATCAGCCAAAAGATAAAAATGATTATATCTTAAAAAGTAAAGCAGCACAAATGTTTGTTTTAACTGCACAAATCAGCACAAACGAAGCACTAAAAAATGAGACCACTTTGGATCAAATCGGAGCTTGATGGGGGGATGGTGATGTCATCAGCCAAAAAATTTAAACGATTATACCTTAAAAAGTAAAGCAGCACAAATGTTTGTTTTAACTGCACAAATCAGCACAAACGAAGCACTAAAAAATGAGACCACTTTGGATCAAATCGGAGCTTGATGGGGGGATGGTGACGTCATCAGCCAAAAAATTAAAATGATTATATCTTAAAAAGTAAAGCAGCACAAATGTTTGTTTTAACTGCACAAATCAGCACAAACGAAGCACTAAAAAATGAGACCACTTTGGATCAAATCGGAGCTTGATTGGCGGATGGTGACGTCATCAGCCAAAAGATAAAAATGATTATATCTTAAAAAGTAAAGCAGCACAAATATTTGTTTTAACTGCACAAATCAGCACAAACGAAGCACTAAAAAATGAGACCACTTTGGATCAAATCGGAGCTTGATGGGGGGATGGTGATGTCATCAGCCAAAAAAATTTAAATGATTATATCTTAAAAAGTAAAGCAGCACAAATGTTTGTTTTAACTGCACAAATCAGCACAAACGAAGCACTAAAAAATGAGACCACTTTGGTTCAAATCGGAGCTTGATGGGGGGATGGTGACGTCATCAGCCAAAAATTAAAATGATTATATCTTAAAAACTAAAATAGCACAAATGACCGTTTTAACTGCACAAATCAGCACAAACGAAGCACTAAAAAATGAGACCACTTTGGATCAAATCGGAGCTTGATGGGGGGATGGTGACGTCATCAGCCAAAGATTTAAATGATTATATCTTCAAAACTAAAATAGCACAAATGACCGTTTTAACTGCACAAATCAGCACAAACGAAGCACTAAAAAATGAGACCACTTTGGTTCAAATTGGAGTTTAATGGGGGGATGGTGACCTCTGGATGACCTAAAAAATAATCTTTAATATCTCTTAAACAAAAGTAGCACAAACAATATTTTTTTCTGCACAAATCTGCACTAACGTTGCACTAACCATTCAGTCTATTTGCAGAGTTTTTTGACGTGGGTGGGGTGTCAGCTTCACCCACGTTGTTGACATTGCTATCTAAAGCAAAGTTCTTTAAATGAGGCACAATAAATCACGCTGCAATCAATCTTTATTAGGGAATACAAAACAATATAAAACACATAACAACAATAACAGCTAAAACAACTTGCAATATAAAACAAATATATGTAATTAACTGCTTTCTTGAGAACAGTGGTTAGACCAAACGCTGCATCTGGCCACATCTTCTTCCACCAAGGCATTCTGACTGCGGACAACAACTGCTGTTGTTGAATAACTACTTTCCTTTCCAGCATGGGGCAACCAAGCCACTGTATAAAATAAGTATTCTTATAACAGTGGAAAGTACAAAAAAAATAATAATAAAATAACAATAAAAACACGTTTCCCTAGAGATCTTTGCCAATTAGCATGAATATATAAATAATCTAATAAGAAGGGGACAAACAGGCTCGGTAATCTTCATAATAATGACACTGATTTATCAGTAGAAACATTTAAAAAAGACTTCCCTTTTTTCCAGTGTTGGCAGTGAGATATAATTTACTTTTGTCCCAGACTAAATTACTGACAAGAATTTACAGGATAAAAAGCGGCCTGAAACAAAAACAGCAGTTGTAGATGTGTAATAAATGTAGTCGGTTGTGATCATCACCTGCAAGTATAGAGAATATAGTTTGAATCGGACATGCAAGCAGCACAAATGACGGTTTTAACTGCACAAATCAGCACAAATGAAGCACTAAAAAATGAGACCACTTTGGTTCAAATCGGAGCTTGATGGGGGGATGGTGACGTCATCAGCCAAAAAATTTAAACGATTATATCTTAAAAAGTAAAGCAGCACAAATGTTTGTTTTAACTGCACAAATCAGCACAAACGAAGCACTAAAAAATGAGACCACTTTGGATCAAATCGGAGCTTGATGGGGGGATGGTGATGTCATCAGCCAAAAAATTTAAACGATTATACCTTAAAAAGTAAAGCAGCACAAATGTTTGTTTTAACTGCACAAATCAGCACAAACGAAGCACTAAAAAATGAGACCACTTTGGATCAAATCGGAGCTTGATGGGGGGATGGTGACGTCATCAGCCAAAAAATTAAAATGATTATATCTTAAAAAGTAAAGCAGCACAAATGTTTGTTTTAACTGCACAAATCAGCACAAACGAAGCACTAAAAAATGAGACCACTTTGGATCAAATCGGAGCTTGATTGGCGGTCATCAGCCAAAAGATAAAAATGATTATATCTTAAAAAGTAAAGCAGCACAAATGTTTGTTTTAACTGCACAAATCAGCACAAACGAAGCACTAAAAAATGAGACCACTTTGGATCAAATCGGAGCTTGATGGGGGGATGGTGATGTCATCAGCCAAAAAATTTAAACGATTATACCTTAAAAAGTAAAGCAGCACAAATGTTTGTTTTAACTGCACAAATCAGCACAAACGAAGCACTAAAAAATGAGACCACTTTGGATCAAATCGGAGCTTGATGGGGGGATGGTGACGTCATCAGCCAAAAAATTAAAATGATTATATCTTAAAAAGTAAAGCAGCACAAATGTTTGTTTTAACTGCACAAATCAGCACAAACGAAGCACTAAAAAATGAGACCACTTTGGATCAAATCGGAGCTTGATTGGCGGATGGTGACGTCATCAGCCAAAAGATAAAAATGATTATATCTTAAAAAGTAAAGCAGCACAAATATTTGTTTTAACTGCACAAATCAGCACAAACGAAGCACTAAAAAATGAGACCACTTTGGATCAAATCGGAGCTTGATGGGGGGATGGTGATGTCATCAGCCAAAAAAATTTAAATGATTATATCTTAAAAAGTAAAGCAGCACAAATGTTTGTTTTAACTGCACAAATCAGCACAAACGAAGCACTAAAAAATGAGACCACTTTGGTTCAAATCGGAGCTTGATGGGGGGATGGTGACGTCATCAGCCAAAAATTAAAATGATTATATCTTAAAAACTAAAATAGCACAAATGACCGTTTTAACTGCACAAATCAGCACAAACGAAGCACTAAAAAATGAGACCACTTTGGATCAAATCGGAGCTTGATGGGGGGATGGTGACGTCATCAGCCAAAGATTTAAATGATTATATCTTCAAAACTAAAATAGCACAAATGACCGTTTTAACTGCACAAATCAGCACAAACGAAGCACTAAAAAATGAGACCACTTTGGTTCAAATTGGAGTTTAATGGGGGGATGGTGACCTCTGGATGACCTAAAAAATAATCTTTAATATCTCTTAAACAAAAGTAGCACAAACAATATTTTTTTCTGCACAAATCTGCACTAACGTTGCACTAACCATTCAGTCTATTTGCAGAGTTTTTTGACGTGGGTGGGGTGTCAGCTTCACCCACGTATGTCAACAAAGCCACCAATATATTAACCTTTCTCCACAGAAATGCAATATTGTTGTCTCACAAATGGAGAGGGGGACACACCAGCCTGAGCCTGCACATGATCAAATCCTCACATTCTGCAACAGTTATATACTTATACAAACTTCTACAAATATTTTACCTGTTACTTATATTCCATTATTATTATTCTAATATTGTAACTGTGATTTATTTTAAGGTGGTTTTGATAGTCGTATTCACATTGTTGACCCTTATTTTCCGCACATTGAGCAGCAAACTGGTTTAAAAAAATAACTGAGATGCGCCAGAAGGATGAAGTTAGAAGTGCACAGCACGTAGGCAATTGAGTGTCATTTCAATAAACCAAATTCTTTATGCTTAAATAAAATGCATCAAGCTTTAATTTGTAACTTATGACATTAAATGTAAGAGTTATTAAAACAGCATTGACTGTTTGGCAAATTTGAAGTCCTCACACGACTTTACAGTGAGTGATGCCACCTAGTGATTCAGTGAACTCTGCGTAGAAAGATAGCAAATTAGATCATATATATTAATAAAAGTGAAATCCTTTAAACTTCAACATCTGTCAAACATGATTTTAGAGCAAGGTAAGATAATAAATAATGGGAGATGCATGGTTGAATGCTATACATACAGGGCTAGCAGCCACATGGCAGTAAATGTTAGCAACAAATAAGGTTTTAGTAACAAACATGTCACGATCAACAGCAACTACGTTATTTTTAGCTAAGTTGGCCAGGGTATCCAATATTTAATTTAATACAAAGCAAACAGATTTCTGTAAATCCAAAATTCAATTACATTTTAATTCCAGATTTTTTTAATTTATTAAAACATACAGTTATCTATGATTAGGCACATCTGTAGACTCCACAGGGCTAAGGCACATTTTTAAAGTTGAACTAATACTTTAAATGAAAGTTAACAAGCCATAAAAATGCTATATGTGCAATAACCAAAAAACAGACTATAATTACAATTAAGCATAAAAGGCATATTGATTTAGGGAAGAACAGTAATTTAAACTGAAGTTTTTAGTTGTAGCAGAATTCTATATGTCAGAATATTTGTATTAATGCTAATCAAATTCTTTTTATCCTTCAACGAGATACCTCGAAAGCCATCAGTAGACAGGGATTCCCTTTTTGCAGTTGTCTGCAATTCAAAAGAGGCCATCCTTCTAAATGGCAAAATAGCCACTCCTGCTGCTGCTATTTGGACTGAATTAAGTCAGCAGCTGGAAAACAAGATGTCTCCAAAAGCTGTGTACACTTTCGTAAAGTTAAACAGACATAACATCTGGTCATGAGTTTGACTCTGGCTCTATTTCTTCAGGAGTAGGCAGCTGCTCATGTTTTCAGATTGAAGTCCCTTTTGAGGAATGGATCAAATTTCAAAAGAGCTGTGTGAGGGCAGGATGGAGCCGGCTGTATGGAGGTCAGCAAAGGCATCGGAATTGATGGATATTGGAGATCCTGAACCAAGTCACCTCCCAAATTTGGCGACCCTACGAAAAGCAAAGCAGGAGAAAAAAGATTTAGAATTAGGTGACAAAGATCCAATTCTGTCTTTGCAGTTGTCAAAATATAGCAAACACAACTGAATTTCCTTTGTGTAAATGTCCCTCTGTTGTGGCTCCCCAAGGAAAGACACTGACCTTAAAAGGAGTGATCGCTTTCAAGGCTAGCTCAACCAAACACGGTCTTGGACATTACACTGCCTACTGCCGAAGAGCTCCATGTACTGTATGTGGGAACTTTATGATGATCTGGCAAAGGTAGTGAAGACAGTGCCTGAAAATACCTAAGTACAACCACATGCTGTGTTATACACAGCAGATTGAATGCTGTTAAGAAATATACTTTGGAGGTCAGTTTTGAGAAGCCCAGAAGAGTTCCCAGTTGTTAGGACCATATTACAGTTTTAAAAAGGCGTTTTCTTTTATCAAAATGTTCAAATGTTAACATAAAGTTTGTTTTCCAAATCAGAAGTGTTTGTTCTTCTTTGAAAGTAAAAGGTTTATTACATATTCAAGGGCACTTTGTTATAGTTGATTTTTGAAGTCATACTTCATTACATTATTGTATTTTCATCTCTCTTTTTATTTATCTTTTGTATTATTTGTAAAGTGACCTTGAGTGTCAAGAAAGGCGCTGCTAAATAAAATGTATTATTATTATTACTCCTTTTTGGTGTTTCTGCACCAAAAAATAAGCTAATTACAGTTTATAGGCTAGCAGTAAACTTTAAAAAAATACAGCACTGTGGTTAGACTATAAAGTAAAACAGCATCTGTAAGGAACAATATCCAAAATTTTTTGTCTGTTTAAGCTAAAGGTTCAATTAGGCTGAAGGTCCTCTCCAGTTCATTACTAGCTTCATGCGTGGAGTGGGAAATATTGTCCAACAATTAATATATTGGCTTAATTAAAGAATTAGAAATTACTAACAATGTAGAGCAATTTGTTTTTATTTAATAAGCTCAGCATAAACGTTATATTAAAAACGTAGCAGTCTGCACATAAAGTATTACTGGGCTGCAAATCTTAATAAAACTTTTCATTCCAAGGTTATTGTTGATAAATGAAAAAGAGCCAACATGGATGTTCTATGTAAGACACAGATACAGTTTGTTTTGAACCTGCTGGTGATGGTAAATGACACAGCTTCATAATAATGTCACTGCTTTATCAGTAGAAATACATAAAAATATGTACTGAAGAAAACTAGAAGACTTATAAATGAGGTTCAGGTGCACTGGTGTCTGCCTGGAAGGTCGGTAAAAATACTTACAGAGTGCAGCTTTATTGGAGGGCTAAGGTATACAGGTAGTAGATGCAAGGATCTTGAAGTTGGTCTAAAGAAAAACACAAATAATATCATACTAAATATCAGTAATAATCAGTAAGCATAAAGTTAGTAATCAGGCATGAAATAACATTCACCATAAAGAAATATAATTTAGCCTGCTGACACCTAGTGGTCAATCTAGCCCAAAAAACTTAACTCAACAAGATGATAGTCAAACAGGATTATAAACTCCGTATCACTGTGCATAAAGACTTAATAACAAAACATGTAATATAAACTTAAACGTTCAGGCTAAGCCCAAAAGATTAACAACATTGACTATAAACAGTTAGTTAGTACTACTAAAGCTGCAGCTACAAAACTAAAGCTGCAGCTACAAAACAACACAGTTAAACAGGTTATATAAGGAAATTTTACAACACACAAGGCATAATAATGTCATCAGTTACACACTTGAAACATCCACTAACATGCATAGGTGACTCAAACTAACTTAGACGAGACTCCTTTGCTTTGCCGCTGACTTGTCCACTTCCGCAGCTCTCTAATTGGGGGGTGGTGACGTCACCGACCTAAATTTTAATCTATTATATCTTAAAAAGTAAAGCAGCACAAATGTCGGTTTTAACTGCACAAGTCAGCACAAACGAAGCCCTAAAAAATGAGACCACTTTGAATCAAATCGGAGCTTGATGGGGGGATGGTGACGTCATCAGCCAAAAATTAAAATGATTATATCTTAAAAACTAAAATAGCACAAATGACCGTTTTAACTGCACAAATCAGCACAAACGAAGCACTAAAAAATGAGACCACTTTGGATCAAATCGGAGCTTGATGGGGGGATGGTGATGTCATCAGCCAAAAAATGTAAATGATTATATCTTAAAAACTAAAATAGCACAAATGACCGTTTTAACGGCACAAATCAGCACAAACGAAACGCTAAAAAATGAGACCACTTTGGATCAAATCGGAGCTTGATGGGGGGATGGTGATGTCATCAGCCAAAAAATGTAAATGATTATATCTTAAAAACTAAAATAGCACAAATGACCGTTTTAACGGCACAAATCAGCACAAACGAAACACTAAAAAATGAGACCACTTTGGATCAAATCGGAGCTTGATGGGGGGATGGTGACGTCATCAGCCAAAAATTAAAATGATTATATCTTAAAAACTAAAATAGCACAAATGACCGTTTTAACTGCACAAATCAGCACAAACGAAGCACTAAAAAATGAGACCACTTTGGATCAAATCGGAGCTTGATGGGGGGATGGTGACGTCATCAGCCAAAAATTTAAATGATTATATCTTCAAAACTAAAATAGCACAAATGTTTGTTTTAACTGCACAAATCAGCACAAACGAAGCACTAAAAAATGAGACCACTTTGGTTCAAATTGGAGTTTAATAAGGGGATGGTGACCTCTGGATGACCTAAAAAATAATCTTTAATATCTCTTAAACAAAAGTAGCTCAAACAATATTTTTTTCTGCACAAATCTGCACTAACGTTGCACTAACCATTCAGTCTATTTGCAGAGTTTTTTGACGTGGGTGGGGTGTCAGCTTCACGCAGCTCCTATATGGAGAAAGGGAGAAATATGGATGGACGGATGGATGGATACTCTGCCTTCTCAACCTACTGTATTTTTTATTTTAAACATTATTTGATGGCCTTTGTGGCAGGGATGGAGATCCATATTTTATGTCACACAGAGTATAGATAGATAGATAGATAGATAGATAGATAGATAGATAGATAGATAGATAGATAGATAGATAGATAGATAGATAGATAGATAGATAGATAGATAGATAGATAGATAGATAGATAGATAGATAGATAGATAGATAGATAGATGTTGCAGTACACAGGATTTCAGAATTAGACATCCCCAGTTATTAATTTCATATACTCACCAGATCTGAATGCCCTGTTAAAATCTTCACATCGCGTTCCCCCCTGATGTCATTTACGTTGAGTTGCAATAAATGCAAAACTCTCTGCAGGTTCTTGTCTTTGTCGTTCGCTCTATTCAGCTGGCTTTGGAAAGCCAGCTGAATAGAGCGAACGTAAACGCAAAAGTAGCGCAATAGTTACTTTTACTAGTAACTAGTTACTTTTATTGTGGAGTAACTCAGTTAGTAACTCAGTTACTTTTTGGGAGAAGTAACTAGTAACTATAACTAATTACTTTTTCAAAGTAACGTGCCCAACACTGTTGGTGAGTAAGGGAGCAGTTTGTTAGATGGTTAATGTCAATTCTAGATATTTAACCAACCTAAATAAACACAACCTTACAGTAGATGTCCTGAATCACAATATTATAAATTATTCCAAACCATAACTCTATTCAACTTGCAAAATGAAATAAGAAGCATTTACTTGATTATGAATGTATGCTTTGATAATTAATCTGTCAGTAAGCCCTTTTTTATTCAATTATTATAAATAGTGACCTTTTACACAGACAAAAAACACATTTATTAAAACTGACCCTCAATAATATTTACTTTAGACTTATCAAATGGATAATTTCTCCAACAATAAAGAAACTAAATTTAAAAACCCTATGTAATATGTTTTGTTGAGCTGCAACTGTCATGGCTCAGAGCAGAGGACCCAGTATTCAAGGTGGAAAGACAGTTACTAAAAAAAGCGTTTATTAAAAGACGGATCTGCAGTAGCAACTGCTAGGGCATCTAGGGCAGAAACCTCTGCAGAAAGGAAACACAAGTTAGTGACCACGTAAATCTAGTGAAGTAAGATTATGAACAAGAGTCACAAACCTTGTTTTTTTGGTCTAGTCCAAGCCCAGGGAATAAGGTAGGATGCAGCCGGTGGACTGCGAACAAGATGGGTGAAACCAAAAGCTGGGGTAGAAGATGTGCTCAGAAATTAAAACCAGTCGGTAGAGGTTCCGAAGGGAAATCCAGGTTGGTGTCAGAAGGCAGTTCAAGTTCATTAAACAGGCAAAATCAAAAGCAGTCCAAAAACAGGCCTTCAAACAGATCAGACGGGAACAGGCAGGCTCATTGGTTGATAAAGAAGAACAGGTCAGGATCAGGTAATAAGAAACACTGAGGTAACACTAAATCACTCTCACCACTGACCCATTAATAAATTGTCTGATGACTGGAAGCAAGAAGATTAAAACAGATCAGACAGGAACAGGCGCAGCTGAGTGGTTGAGAGGCAGAACAAGAAATCAAAAACACTAAGGTAACACTAAACACACTATCCCCACTGGCTCGAGAGAATAATCTGGTCCTGATAGATGGTTAGAGACCTGGTTAAAAAGAAGTTGGAGCAGGCGATCAGATGATCGGTAATAAGAAAACAGGGAGTTGGGCAGGTGAATGGAATTAGTAATCCAGCCAGTCATCAGCACCAATATCATGGCAGCAACAGCAGGTGGTTCTCAAAGTTCTTTGAGCCAAGGCATGCTCTTCTTGACTTGGAGATCATCCTGCAGCACTAAACAGTCTCTTACAGGCTGCTCAGGCTGGGAGTGCTGTATTAAGTTAAAGTGATAGCTGACACAAAGCTGGGAGGGACTTTAGCTGTACTGAAGTACTCTTCCTGTACTTCTGCCCACAGCAGAAGTACTAAAGCTATACTTTAGTGCCCAGGACAGGAGCAAACAAATTTCCAAACATTTTAATGAACAGTAAAATACCAAATGCACAACATACAATACAGTTCAGCATGTAGACACTTGACAAGTTCCTTAAGTTGATGCCTAAGTGTCACCAATTAAGGATCAATTAAGGATTAAGTTTTAAGGATCATTTAAGTTACTGTTATTTTTATAGATTGTTTTTGAGTTAACCTTAGCCTAAATGTTACCTTTCCTTTTGAAAATAGTTCTACATTAGACCTTCTTGACACAAGAGAAAAGGTAGGTTTTTAGGTTAAATCGCGGTCAACAATTATTTATCAGTCAATCGATAAGATCAACCACTTAGATGAACTCCTTCATACAAAACTTGCATCCCTAGAAGACACTTACCAAGTTTAAGAGTATTTCCATCACCAGAGTGGCTCTAGCTATAAGCTCTGGATCTGTAAAGATTTGCCTAAAACATTTTTCAAGGCTGGAAGCAGAGTTATGGTGGGAACCAACCATCCTATCTGGACTCTGGTGTCTCCTTGAAGAATATCTAGTTCCTTTGCATTTGGGTGTATTGTTTTTGCATAGTCTTAGAGAAAAAGAGGTTCCACTGGACTAAAACTGTAAAAAGAAGAAATTGAAAAATACAGAATATTTGGGCAAATCAGATGTAGCAACTTCAAATGTCGGAAAGGAAGTAAACATTAAAAAACCAAAAATACTGCCATCTAAGACTTTTAGACATATAACCTTCTTAAGATATTTAAAATCAAATAATGGTTGTAATAAATACAGGGATTGCATATTTGCATTGAACAGATGTTGGTTCTTCGACTTTTAAAGATTACCTGTGTTACTTGGCCATTTGTTTAATAATATATTGATGAATTCAACAAACGGGGGGGTTCACACTATTCTTTCTATGCCTGAGAACAGTGAATTACACTTTCTGCTCGTACACTTTGAAGGCTAACAGGAAGTTTGATCCGTTGTCAGCTGTGGTGGGAATGATCTTGTCTGTGATACAAAATTCTGTGTGAATATCATTTAGTGATTATTAGAGGTACACATTCAACATAAAAAAGTAAAGCTTTAAGCTGCATTGTTACAAGGGATAGCTTTAACATCTCTGAAAAATAAATGTTGCTACTGTTTACTGTTAGAATAGTTTATTATCTACATCACAAAAATGAGTGAGATAGCAATGAGGAACACTGAACATTTTCACCTATTTCAGATTATAAAGACCGCCAGACAGAATGTGAGAGGTGAACATGTTTTATACAAATAGCTTATCAACATATAACCTCAAAAGAAAAATTTGCAAAGCTGAGGCATAACCTAATTATAGCAAATAATACAGGTATTTGCAGACCTAGAAAACATTGCTAGGTATGCTACTAATGCAACTAATGACAA